ATGGTCTCCCTGATAAGTGGGTGCTAAATCCAAAATGTTAGGTGATACGACAAAACTAACAGGACTTAAAAAACAAAGAACTCCCACTCATCTGGTTGAACCACTACTAAATATCCCCATGCTGCTGATCGCATATATGGTGTATAACATGTGAACACCATTATATGTTACAGACTGTGATAGACAATGTGCTCCAGGAAAGTTAGAATGAACTTGTGAAAAAAAAAAAAAGAACCTCGGGGAAGGTAGGGAGGGAAAGGATGGTAGAGGGAAAAAAAAAAGAATACCTTAAGTTAGTACGAGTTTTTTTTTACATTATTATTTTTGTTTTGGTTCTTTGTTCTTCCAGATCCTAGGTACAGGGAAAGATGGTGGCTCCCTTCATTCCGAATCGCTGCCTGCCCCCTTGCTTCTCACACTGCTGGCCTTTTACCCCATTTAGTGGGCTTTGTTGTTTCTCGATTATATTATTACTATTTGGTTACTACTACGTTATTATTACCATTTGGTTATATTATTACTATGTGATTACTATTACGTTATTACCATTTGGTTACATTATTACTATCTGATTACTATTATGTTATTATTACCATGTGTGATTACTATTACGTTATTATTACCATTTGGTTGGAGGAGTCTCCTCTCACTGTTAGGAAATCCAGCATATGAGGGCACTTTTATTCACAGCTGTGTTTTCTTAATCAGAACTGATATAAAGCATTTACCTAGAACATATTTTTGAATGAAAGAATACAGGAAAATGAAACAATTTTTAAATGTTCTTTCTCATGTGGTGAACTACATGTCATTCTCTTCCCCTACTAAGTCAAAAAACTATAGTTTTACATATTTTTTTGCTAGGCAATGTCACAAAAATGGTGACCCACAGCTTCCTCCCCGTGAGGCCTGTGCATGGGCTAGACTCCCTCAGAGCCAATACTTTTATGCAAACTGAATCTGGCTCTGTGCATGCTGGGTTTTAACTATCACAGGCTTTGGAAGTGCTTCCTGTACACAGTTCAGATCCAGAGTCTGTGCAGGCGCCAGGGTGCTTTGGCACTTCAGCCATGCCTACAGTCTAGCTTTTGGCTGGTTATTTCAGAGACTTTTCAAGCCATGATCCTCAGGATCTTAGCTTCCTAAGTAACTAAGATTGCAGGCATGAGCCACTAGTGCCTTGTCTGAATCTTTTTTTTATTTTTTAAATTAAAAAAACTTTTTATTATAAAAATGATGTACAGAGGGGTTACAGTGATGTAAGTCAGGTAACGGATATATTTCTTTTTGGACAATGTCACCTTTTTCCTTATCTCTCCCAGTTGTGTTGTTTTTTTTTTTTTAATTTTAGCTTATAATTTATTTATTACTGGAATTTTGGGAGCAGAGTTGGCTTCAGGAATTAAAACAAATGAAACCATGTTAAGTGGACAGTTGCACATAGAATCATGCTGTCTGTAGCTGTTTGAACTTCATCTTTATGGAGTACACAATATTGTTATTTGAGGTGGCAGATCACTACTCTTTTGTATTAAATTCTTTGTCGGGTCTTATTTTCACAAATCTGATTTCTTTCCTCTGTAGATCATAAGTGAAATATTGAAGATTAATGAGAACCCCACAATTCACGGCCTTGCCCTTCAGATCTCTGAGGACTCCATTAGCAGCAAAGTCCTCAACGCCCTGAAACCGGAGAAAGACGTGGATGGGTAAGAACATAGAAAACATGTGAGAATCCATTTTTATACAAAGTCATTACCTACTTTGATGTTTTTTCTGAATACTAATTTTTGTGGCTATGTCAGTAATTAGCTAAAAGTAATCATTTAGAATATGTTAGGAGTTTTATGGCTATAGATTCTAGGTACACAAGTCAGACATCTTGTAGTACATGGGCTGCAGTGGGAAAAGATATCACACTGGCATTTTTACTTAACATGTTTCTGTCTTACTGCGTCTGTGGTCAGTCCTCAGACTAAATAGGTTTTCCGAGGTAATTGTGTCAGACCAAAGGGAAAAAACCTGAGACCTGATTGTCCAGCAGTATCATATTCTTGCTTAGACCCAGACCTGTTGAGAGAAAGTCTTTTATTAATGACACATAAATCTTTAGCTACAATGTGAGGCAGGGACAGGTAAGGATGATAAACGCCAGGTGTGTGTCTGGTGCTCTCTGAGCCTTCTTGTGGGATGATGTAAGCAGGTACCCCAGTCTACAGTGGGGACCAGCATGTTTCCTGAGGACTAAAAACACTATTTCCCTACATGGAAAAATGGAGCTATTTTGTACTAAGGCCAAAATGAGCTCAATGTGCTCAGGGCTACAAGCTGATGAGCACACATGCAGTGAGATCCCTGGCCTGGTGTGTTCTTCAAGGGCTGCATTGAGAACCTGCAACCATGGCTCCTTCTGTCTGTGTGTGTGCGTATGTGTACAGCTACTGGACTTGCTGGCACTCTACCACTTCAGCCATACCTTCACTACTGACCTTTGGCTGGTTAACTGGAGATGAGTATCTCAGATTTGTCTGCCCATGCTAGCTTTGAACGAGGATCTTCAGATCTCAGCCTCCTGAGTAGCTGTGATTACAATGTGAGCCGCCAGCTCCCCTAGCTTTACTCTATCTTTATCCTGGCTGGGAGTAGACCCAAACATAGCTTAAAAAGTTCTTGTGGGACTGGGCATCTATAAGGCTGGGTTCAGTACACACACACACACACACACACTCATCACACACACACACTCATCACAGAAATTTCCAACAAGAAATTACACACACACACACACACACACACACACACACACACACACAAAATCATCACAGAAATTTCCAACAAGAAATTCCAATAGAATCACTATAAAGGAGGGGCTGGGAAGGTGGCTCAGTGGTAGAGCACTTGCCTTGCATGCATGAGGCCCTGGGTTCGATTCCTTAGCACCACATAAGCTAAAAGAAAAAAGCCGGGAGTGGCACTGTGGCTCAAGTGGTAGAGCGCTAGCCTTGAGCTGAAGAGCTGAGGAACAGCGCCCAGGCCCAGAGTTCAGGCCCCACAAATGGACCCAAAAAAAAGATTAAAAAAAAAAAGTATCACTATAAAGGGAGAAGGAGTCTTATAAGAAAACCTCCAAGACAGGCAAGTATGAGGGTATACTTTCAAAAAAAAATTTTTTTTTGTATCCGGTTGTGGGGCCTGAACTCTGGGGCTGGGCGCTGTCCCTCAGCTCTTCAGCTCAAGGTTAGCCCTCTACCACTTGAGCCACAGCGCCACTTCTGTTTTTTTTTTTTTCTTTTTGCTTATGTGGTGCTGAGGAATCAAACCCAGGGCCTCGTGCTTGCAAGGCAAGCGCTCTACCACTGAGCCATCTTCCCAGCCCCCACTTTCAAATCTTTTATAAAAGTAGAGAATGAAGCTGGGTCAGTGGCTCACACCTGTAATCCTAGTTACTCAGGAGGCTAAGATCTGAGGATCATGGTTCGAAGCCAGCCAGGGCAGGAAAATCTGTGAGACTCTTGTCTCCAATAAATTATTAAGAAAAAGCCAGAAGTGGCTCAAAGGCTCAAGTGGTAGTGTGCTAGCCTTGAGCACAAAGAGGCTCAGGGACAGCACCCAGGATGAGATCAAGCCTCAGGACCAACAAAGAAAAAAAAATGGGAATGAAGAAAGCCTTCCTAAGTATCTCCTTTCCTTACTAATCTGGAGTGAGACCATCAGCTCAGGCTGCACAGTCGTGGATGTCCTAAGTTAATGCTTCGTCCAGTTTCAGTAAGGGAAGGAAAGGCACAGAAGTGATGGAGAGTTTGTGGTCACTTACTTTGCTCCTTAGGTTTTTCAAGGAGATCGGTAGGATCGGGCTGGATCTGAACCGGGGACCGAAGGGGTGCCCTCCTGAGATCGGCCCTGGAAGGTGTCCTTGGACATGGGGAGTCATGAAACTCTGTGTGGCCTCCGGCCGCCTGGCCTGCTCCCGGAAGCCGATGGCCTTTGTGTCCGCTCTGTAACTCATTGAACACATCCTTTCTATCAGACACTCACTCGGATGTTACCAGGCTGATCACGTGTGAATGGCCACTGAATGCCTTTGACTGACCTGTTCTCTGGTTTCTGGTTCAGAGTGACAGACATCAACCTGGGGAAGCTGGTCCGTGGAGACGCCCATGAATGCTTTGTGTCACCTGTCGCCAGAGCCACAATCGAACTCGCTGAAAAGTCTGGTGTGTTGCTTCTTCAGAAATGCTTTTTTTCAGGCTGAGGCAATGGCTCAGGGGGTAGAGCATCTGCCTGGTAAAGCATCCTGAGTTCAAGGCCTAACACCACATCCCCACTCTAGTCCTATTTTTTATATATTGTTATTTAGATCTGGTTTCTTTTTGCTTTTGATACTGGTGCTTGAACCCAGTGCCTTGAGTTCTTACTTGGCTTTTTCACTCTAGGCTGGTGCTTTACCATTTGAGCCACACTTGCCATTTGCAGCTTTTTGCTGGTTAATTAGAACTAAGTGTCTCATAAACTTTCCTGCCCAGGCTCACTTCGAATCTGTCCTCAGATCTCAGTATCCTGAGTAGCTAGGATTACTAGTAAACCATCAGAACCCAGCTTTGTTTAGATCATTTTAAAAATAAGGATTTGTTTCTGGAAGATTCTAGTTAAAGGATGAAAGTGGTCCTTAATGGTGACTTTATTCTTATCCTTTAGTTTGGGAGTTACAAGTACATGATACAAATGAATGATGGAGTGAGAGTGATTTGATCATTTTAAAAGAGAAGTCAGTAATGGTGAATGGCAGCCAGTTTTAAACATTCTCAGAACGTAGACTAGTTTGAATAGAAGAGACAGCTATCCCTCCCCCCCCCCAACCTGAAACATGCAACCATCGAACAAAAATTACAAAAGCACAAAGTCGCGTTTGAAGAAGAGTTTAACTTGCAGAATCTGCCCTTATGGTCAGAAACCATTCAGTTGGAATTTGGAGCTAACTCAGATCTGCAGTGCTCTTCCACCTCTGGAGGGCCACAGTGGCTCAGGCCACTTTACCAAAATTCCCAAAGAGGAAATTTTGGCCAATAAAATGTAGAGAAAGAAAGTCAGCAAGGCTGAGAAGATGGCTGAGTGGTAGAGTGCGTGCCTAACATGCATGAAGCCCTGGGTTCGATTCCTCAGTACCACACACACAGAAGAAGTCGGAAGTGGTGCTGTGGCTCAAGTGTAGCCTTGAACAAAAGAAGCTCAGGGACAGTGTCGAGACCCTGAGTTCAAGCCCCAGGACTGGCAAAAAAGAAAGAAAGAAAGAAAAAAAGTCAGCAATAAGAATTGGAATCAAGAGGTATGGAAAGGAAATCTTGACTGATTCCAGCTTTCACCTCTATTTCATACCACAGGGTTATTACCGGGATCACTTTTTTTTCTCTTGTTCTTAATTTTATATTTTATTAATTTTTCATTTTTTATAGTTATTATAAAGATGATGTTAGCAGGGTTAGTAAAGAGTATATTTCCTTTTGTACCATGTCACCCCTTCCCTGGTTTTCTCCCATTTTTTCCTTCCCATCCCCACCCACAAGTTGTATAGTTCATTCTCAACATAGTATCCAGGGAGCAACACTGTTGCATTTGTTCACCCTTTGTCCCTCCATTTCTGTGCCCTACTTACACTTCCAAAGACAGTGAAACAGAACAAAACAAAAAAAACCAGCTAGAAAGAAATAAACCTCTTGTTTCCACTTATTAAAGGATATTTTTTCTCTCAGTTCATGCTATGTGGAAGGAAAGCTGGGAAGCGTCGATGGTGATGTTATGTTTTTGTTTCCATGGCAGGTGTCACCTTGGAGGGGAAGAAGGTCTTGGTGATCGGGGCTCCTGGGTCTTTGCAAGGTGCCCTGCAGTGCCTGTTCCAGAGAAAAGGCTCCATGACCATGAGCTCCCCGTGGGAGACACCTCAGCTGCAAACCAAGGTCAGTGTGCTGAGCAGGGCCACGTTGAGCAGTTCACTTATAGATTTAGAGAAAGGAATCCTAGCCACTCAGGAGGCTGACGTTTGAAGCTAGCTTGAGGCATGAAAGTCTGTGAGATTATCTCCAAATAATCACAAAAAGCAGTGGCTCAAGTGGTAGAGCACCAGCCTTGAGTGAAAGCCAAGGGCTAACTCCAGGCCCTCAGTTCAAGCCCCCCAGTACCATACAAAAAAGAAGTTAACAGAGAAAGAGCAACAGGAAATCTCAAAGGATATACATGATAAAAAGCAAGTATTCAGCCGGTACTGGTGGCTCATGCCTGTAATCCTAGCTACTCAGGAAGCTGAGATCTGAGGATCATGGTTTAAAGCCAGCCCCAGCAGGAAAATCCATGAGACTTTTATTTCCAATTAACCACCAGAAAACCAGAAGTGTGCTTTGGCTCAAGTGCTAGAGTGCTCACCTTGAGCTGAAGAGCTGAGGGACAGCCCCCAGGGCCAGAGTTCAGGCCCCATGGCTGACCAAAAAAAAGCCCAAAACAGCAAATACTAATCAGATTTTAAAAAACACAAATATATACAGAGAGAGAGATTATTCACAAAGTCAAAAAAAATTCATGGGAAAGACTAGGAAATATACACATAGCTAGCCAAAATAAAACAGAAAACACCAACCATCATAGGAATGAACAAGGAAATATAATTACAGAATGAAAGGGTTTTTTGTTTTGTTTTGTTTTTCCAGTCCTGGGGCTTGAATTCTGGGCCTGGGCATTTGTCCCTGAGCTTTTGTGCTCAAGCCTAGTGTTCAACCGCTTGAGCCTTAGCTCCAGTACTAGCTTTTTTTTTTTTTTGGTGGTTAATTGGAGATGAGTATCACAGACTTTCATGCCTCACCTGGCTTCAAGCTACAATGCTCAGATCTCAGCCTTCTGAATAGCTAGGATTACAGGCCTGAGCCACAGCGCCCAGTAACTTATTTTATAAGATAATATCTACAATATTGTACATGTGAAAATGTGTGTGGAGTGAAGGCTTTCCTAGAGACATGTGACTTTCTGAGTGGACTTAGGTGGGGTTTTATAGCCATGTACCCATTAAGGACACTGACTCAGCCACTGACCAAGCAGACAAAAAGACAAGTTGTTTCTCAGAGGAGTTCTACCACCCAAAGAGCAGACTGTTCTAATGTAACCTTGTCTCCCGCTAATGGGAAAGAAGGGATGGATCCTGACTCATTTTATGAATGTCTCAACCAGCTCAGGACAGGATGCTGCAGGAAAATTAACATGTCAGCAATTTGACCTGGAAATGTTGATGAAATCGCCCTGACAAAAGTCCTAGGAGTACAAATGCAGTACCAAGTGGGGTTTGTTTATTACAGTAATTCACTACGTTATTTGATTAAAGCCTAGAGTTTTAGCACAATAGATACGATCATCTGACAACAGCTGGTATTATGACTTTCTCTCCGAGTCATCTGTTTAGCATAGGCACACTGGATGTGCCACCCGCCTGTCAGTCATTTAGTAGTCTTGGTTCTCAGTCAAGTGTGGGGGTCGCCGTGGTTTCATTCTTCAAACGGGGAGGGGAGGCCACGTCCACAGTGTAGCTATGCCTAGAAGCTCTCAGAGATGCCGTAAGGGGTTTCCTCTAGAGAAAGGGGTGTAAATTTATCACACCCTGTGTGTGTACAAATGCACAGTGTGAATAGAGTTCAGTACAGCATGAGATTCCATGCATGCACTAGGGGTCTTGGACTAGAATGAAGGGTGATCGAAAAACACATTTCTCACGTTGCTGTGACAGAGCTGAAAGAAGAGCAGGTTCAGTCTGGTTGTATGTCTGTGTGTGTGTGTGTGTGTGTGTGTGTGTGTGTGTCTATCTCTTAGTCATAAAACATGAACTCAGGGTATAGGAGTTATCCCTGAGCTTTTTTGCTCAAGGCTAGCTGTCTACCACTTGAACCATAGCTCCCTTTCCAGCTTTTTGATGGTTAATTGGAGATAAGAGTCTTGTGGACTTTCCTGCTCAGACTGGCTTTGAACTGTGATCCTCAAATCTCAGCCTCCTGAGTAGCTAGGATTACAGGCATGAGCCATAGTTTAAGACAGTTCAGAAATGTGGACTTGCAAGTGAACAGACCCTGTGTGCCTTTCCAGTTGTCACCACATGGTGGCAATCTACTCAAGAAAATTTAAGAACACTCTATTCTCCCCTTCTTCCCTCCATCGCTCCTCTTCCTACCCCTCCATCCCTCCCTCCCTCCCTCCCTCCCTTCCTTCCTTCCTTCCTTGCTTCCTTGCTTCCTTCCCTTCCTTCTCTCTTTCTTTTCTTTCTCTCTCCTTCCTTCCTTCCTTCCTTCCCTCTCTCTCTCTCCCTCTCTCCCTTTCTCCCTTTCTTCCTCTCTCCCTCCCTCCCAAGGGGGCAAGCACTCAATTACTGAGCTACAGCTCATCTTCTCAGCTTGGAAACTCAGTGAAGGAGGAAAATGAACCCTGCCCTGAGCTAGTAGAAGCGCAAGGCTTGCATTGGCAGCTTAATGTTTTCACAACTGTCCTAGATACTTGTGCTCGTTGTATCTGTGTATTTGAAAAACAGACATTTTTTTAATACTTTTTTTTTGTCTTTCCTGCCCAGGATGGCTTCAAACCATGATCCTTAGAGTTCAGCCTCCTGATTAGCTAGGATTATAGATGTGAGCCACTGACACCAGGCTGACGTTTTTCTTGTTATGGAAATAAGTTATGTGGACTCTGTATTTGGGGTGAATCTAACTTTGAGACAGATTAAATGCAATGATTTTCTAAAGAATCTAGAGACTGGGGACGACCCTGTTTTCATATCTACAAGAAGATTCTCTTTAGTAATTGAAATAATTACCTTTTCCTCCAAAGATCTCAATGCGTAGAACAGCAGAGCCTGTGGGCTTTTGCGCTGACAGCGTATTTGTTTTTCTCTCTGTTCTGGCCCTGGTGCCATTCCCTTGGCAAAGCTTCACTGGAAGACATCAGAAGTGCACGTGGACTGATTAGCTGTCCAGGTTAGTCAGCTCTGGGTAAAAGGGTGCTTTGAGCCAGGCACTGGTGCCTCCTGTCTGTAATCCTAGCTGAATAAGAGGCTGAGATCTGAGGACCACTGTTCCAAGCCAGCCCAAGTAGGAAAGTTTGTGAGACTCTTAAATCCAACTAATCACCCAAAGTGGAAATATAGCTCTGGTTGAAGTGGTGGAGTGCTAGCTTTGATCAAAAAAGCTCAAGGACTGCACAGGTCTTAAGTTCAAGCCCTAGGTCTGGAACCAAAAACAAAAAACAAAACTACAGGCTTAGTGGTAGAGTGCTTGCTAAGCAAGCATGAAGCCCTGGGTTCCATTCCTCAGTACCATATATACAGAAAAAGCTGGAAATGGTGCTTTGGCTGAAATGGTAGAGTGCTAGCCTTGAGCACAGAGAGGCTCAGGGAAAATACACAAGCCCTGGGTTCAAGCCTCAGGACTGGCAAAAAATAAAAACAAAAATAAAGTATGCTTTAGGGTAGTAGCCCTTTACTTTCTCATTCCTAGCCATGTTAAAATAAAAGGGAGTAGATAAACAAAGAGAGGTGAATAATAGGACAGTCTGAAAGCAGCATGTCTATTCTTGTCACTCCTCCTGCCTAATCATTGCATTATTGACACCAGAGGAGGAGTGAATAGAACGTCTTTAAAAGCTGAAACACCAAGTACTTACATTTCATGGCATTGATGAAACGGGTCTATGAGAGAATGCACAGAAATGAAGGGGTGTGGCTCAAGCAGAGCCATGTCAACGAATGGCCTTCGGGATCTTATCTTCCATGGCTCAGAATTTAAATGGCGAAACTGAAATGGAGGGAAGTGGTTTTGAACCCAGAGCCTGTACAAGCTGAGCAAGCATCTACCACTTGAGGCATGCCCCAGCCTTTGTTATTGTGTTTTTTGTGTGTGTGTTCATAGTGATTTTTTTTTTTTTTTTGCCAGTGCTGGGGCTTGAACTCAGGGCCTGGGCATTGTCCCTGAGCTCTTTTTTTTTTATTGGTCGTGGGGTCTGAACTCGGCCTGGGCACTGTCCCTCAGCTCTTCAGCTAAAGGCTAGCGACCTACCACTTGAGCCACAGCGCCACTTCTGGTTTTCTGGTGGTTAGTTGGAGATAAGAGTCCCACAGACTTTCCGGCCTGGGCTGGCTTTGAATTGTAATCCTCAGATCTCAGCCTCCTGAGTAGCTAAGATTACAGGCATGAGCCACTGGCGCCAGGCTTATTCTTTTTTATTTTTCTGTGTTATGGTACCAGGGTTTAAACTCCCAGCTTCTCACTTGCTAGCAGGCAGGCACTTCACCACGTGAGCCCCTCCTCCCGTTTCACATGCTCTTCTGTATCTTGTATATTCGAATTTCCATCTCCCTGGCTGATGCTGGGTCTGCATTATTTACATTTAAACTCGATTCTGTTTTCTATCTCCTCGGGTTGAGCTGTGCTTGGAGGTGGTCTTGAGTGTGGTGTGCATTTCCATGGGTATGACGTTGGAACTGGGGTTCATGGGGCTGGGGAGCCCATCTTACAAATCCCATGGTCGAATCACGCTGCCTTGTGTCTCTGGAAACCTCATCTGCAACTTCATGGCCTCGGCGCTGTGGGGTTCCATCTAGCCTTCCTGCAGTTCACGTTAATAGAAGTCACCTGCAGCCAACCACAAAGACACCCCAGCCGACAGGGGCCAGGTGGGAAGGGGAGATTTATATTCCATGGCGGAGAGCCCTACCTGTCCAGGCGATAGAGTTCCAGCTTGTGTTCTTCAGAGGATAGTTGAGTAATGTCGCCCAGTCCACTTGCTCATCATGTCCCGTGTGCTTCTGGGGACTGCTTCTCACTTCTATTTCAATGGGAATGCTTTTTTAAGGACAGAGAATTAGACCTTTTCATAGGAGAGTCTTCCACATAATCTATAGCAGTAAAACACCATTCTCGCTTTGGAAAGCTCATTT